TTCTGTTTCATACAACATAGCCGGTCTAATCGTCGTTCTATAAAACTTGCCTTTTAACTTTTGTGGTACCCTCTTGTCACAGAGAATGCCATAAGCTTGTCGCCACTTGATCCACCCTGCTTTGATTCTATGGCTAACGTCTGCATCAATATCTCCATCTCTCTGTAGCATCGATCCTAGATATCGAAAGGTATCCTTCTTAGGCACTACTTAACCTTCCAAACTCATATCTCCCTCCTCCTATACAACTTCGCCAAAGTCGCATATCATGTATTCGGTTTTAGTTCTGCTCAATCTAAAACCTTTAGACTCAAGGTTCTGCCGCCATAACTTTAGTTTTCTATTTACTCCCGCCTGGCTTTCGTCCACTAACACTACATCATCAGCGAACAACATACACCAAGGGATATCCCCTTGTATGTTCCTGGTAACCTCATCCATTACCAAGCCAAAGAGATACGGGTTTAAGGCTAACACTTGATGAAGTCCAATTTTAATCGGGAAGTAATCTGTGTTACCATCATTTGTTCGAACACTAGTCACAACATTGTTGTACATGTCCTTGATGAGGGTCACGTACTTTGATGGGATTTTATGTTTGTCCAAAGATCACCACATAACATTCCTTGGTATCTTATCATAAGCCTTCTCCAAGTCAATGAAAACCAAGTGGAGATCCTTCTTCTGCTCTCTAAACCGCTCCATAACCTGTCTTATTAAGAAGATTACTTCTGTGGTTGACCTTCCGGGCATGAAACCAAATTGGTTTGTTGATATCTGTGTCGTTCCTCGCAGGCGTTGCTCGATGACTCTCCCATAACTTCATAGTGTGGCTCATCAACTTAATTCTCCGATAATTAGTACAACTTTGGATATCTCCCTTGTTCTTGTAGATTGGTACCAATATACTTCTTCTCCACTCCTCAGGCATCTTGTTCAATCAAAAGATATTGTTGAACATCTTGATTAGCCATACTATAGCTATATCCCCGAGACATCTTCACACCTTGATTGGGATACCATTAGGGCCCATTGCTTTGCCCCATTTCATCCTTTTCAAGGCTTCTCTGACCTCTGATTCTTGAATCCTCCGCACAAAGCGTCTGTTAGTGTCATCAAACGAGTCATCCAGCTAAACGGTGGTGTTCTCGTTCTCACCATTGAATAATTTATCAAAATACTCTTGTCATCTATGTCTGATCTTATCCTACTTTACCAAGAGCTGCTCCCTTTCATCCTTTATGCACTTGACTTGGTTGAAGTCCCTTGTCTTCCTATCGCGAGCCCTAGCCATTCTATAAACGTCCTTCTCTCATTCATTCGTACTCAAACGTCGATAAAGGTTCTCATAGGGCCGCCCCTTTGCCTCACTCACCGCTCGTTTTACAGTCTTTTTTGTCACCTTGTACTTCTCTACGTTGTTTGTACATCTGTTATGATATAAGCGCTTATAGCACTCTTTTTTCCTTAATAGCCTTTTGCACATCTTCATTCTATCACCAAGTGTCTTTCGAGTTGCATCTGCTCCCTTTGGTCACTCCAAGCACCTCTGAAACTAAAGATGGCAACGGGCACTAAAAACCCGCGTACCCGTGGGCACCAGACCCGACGGGCGCGGATACGGGCGCCAATTTGTGCCCGCGGGCACGGGTGCGGGTACAGTTTTGAACCCAACGGGCAAAGATAGGCGGGTAGGAGAATAGCATATCCGTGCCCGTAAACCCGTCGAACCCGCGCTGACATGTAGGGCCAATTGCAAAAGATGTATATATTCTTCGGATCCTAGGGTTTCATTCATCCCCATCCCACTTCCCACACGCCACACGCGGCCGCCGTCCCTCAGTCGCGGCCTCACCTCCCCAGTCCCCAACTCACGGTCGCGGCGTCGTGCCTCCCGGCCGGACGGCCCCTCCGCCTCCTCTCCGGCTCCCGGCGTCGTGGTAGGTAGGCAGCGAGCAGCGCTGCCATGCGCGCACCTCTCCTCTCTCCAGTTCCCATCCCCACTCGCGCTTCCCCAGCTCGAGATCCACCCCAGATCCAGCTTCGCGTGGTCGGCATGCGGTCAACGTCCGTGCTCCCTTTCTCGTCTCGCTCGCTCAGAAAGTCTGCGGCTCGCAACCCTTCTTGTTGCTTCCTAATCCCCAAGCCATAGCCCGTAGATGCAAAGTGCCTTTTTCTTGTCGCATCTTGAAGTCCCGTGAGTGATGGATGGTGCATGATGCAAGAAGCTTACGATTGTCGCATCTTGAAGTCCCGTGGTGATGGATGGTGCATGATGCAAGAAGCTTACGATTGAGAGATTCTTGTTTATTTATGTTTGATATTTTCTTTGGATTTTGTGACATGGGAACTAGCAAATATTTGTTGCGAATCAGCATATAAGAAATCAATCTTGCTTAAATTGATGCCTATTTCGACGCCATGGATTTGATTTAGCTCAAATTGATGCCTACATGTTTGAATTTGATGTAAGATGTATATATGGATGTGTCTGTTTCTACAATTCTACTATCCTATTTCTCACTGTTTTGAGGTTGGCGGGTATGCGGGGCATGCCCATGGTAAGGCATGCCCGCTGGATTATTGGCGCTGGGCGATTATGTCTTTGCCCGTGTGGTGTGTGCAAGCGCAAGCACGAAAAAAATTCTCGCGGGTGCGGGTTCGTGATACCTGTATCCATGGGTATTTTACCCGTTGCCATCTTTATCTGAAACAACCTTCTGAACGCATGTTGCCATCTTCTCTCACATGTTGTTTGCATCACCTTTATTGTTCCAAGGTCCTCTTCAATGACCTTTTTCTTAAAGACCTTTGATGTCTCCTCTTCTAATTTCCACCACTTCGTTCTAGTAACTCTAGCTTGTTTGTTCCCACGAGCTTGCACCAGAAAACGGAAGTCAGCCACCACCAGCTTGTATTGAGCGACCACACATTCTCCAGGTATCATCTTACAGTCTACGCATGTTCATTTATCCCTCCTTGTAAGAATAAAATCGATTTGACTAGAGTTTTGGCCGCTGCATAAGTTTGAAAATTTTGATAGTATTAGTCCGTATCATCTGTTTGCCAAGTATGACATGTTTTCTGTCTGCTTAAATTGACCAGATTATAGGACATAATGATCTGCCTTCCCTATTCTTTCTATTGATGCATGTCAAATTTGGCAAATCATGGCTGCAGTGATATGTCCCTGTCACAAGATGTATTACGAACTTATACGGTTGTGTTGAGGTTCTTAGCTACTGTATCGATTCTCCAATATTAAATAGAAAGGAACTTGTTTGTTCCTTGTAAATATCAATCTTAAATAGAAAGTGAACTTATTTACTCTTCTCAAAAGCATAGTGAAAACAAATAATCTTTTTAACTAAAAATTGCCAGAAAATATGAAATAGAAACCGTTTCTCGGAGAAACCTGTTTCTTGCCTGGCAGATCAGGCGTTGGGTACAATCCACGTGTGCTATTCTATGATCACGTCCTGTTCGGCTGATAAGCCGACTGATGCTATTTTATTATGAGAAAAAAACACTGTATCATAATTGATAAGCAGGTCAAATGAATAGGGCAAATATGTTCGTTTTGTGGGGCATTCATGTTTTGTACAATTCCCGATTTGTATAGACCGTTACCACGACCTTGGAGCCTCCCAGTCTACTCCGTATGTGATAACCTTTTTAAATTGACACATCGGCCTGTCATCTGCAGTTCACGTGTCAGTGGCAAGGCTATCACTGTTTTGTTTCGAGTTCTGTGGTTGCTCTCCGTATGTGATAACCTTTTTAAGGGCACGTTTAGTTTCTAAAATTTTTTATGCACTATCCATCACATCGAATCTTACGGCATACGTATGGAGTACTAAATGTAGACGAAAAAAAACTAATTGCACAGTTGGGTGAGAAATCGCGAGACAAAACTTTCGAACCTAATTAGTCCATAATAGACACTAATTACCAAATACAAACGAAAGTGTTATAGTAGCCAAAACCTAAAAATATTTGCATCTAAACGCGCCCTAAATTGACACATCGGCCTGTCATCTGCAGTTCACATGTCAGTGGCAAGGCTATCACTGTTTTGTTTCCAGTTCTATGGTTGCAATAATTGTACTGGAGCACAGGGCTATTCTTGCTTGCTACCTGAACTTTGTCGTTGGCTTAAAAAAGCTCGGGATACACGCACTGAAAAGAGTAAACCCGGGTGCTGTCAAAAACCGCGGGACCAGCGTGAGGAGACGGACACGTAAGGCACCACCACCACCAGGGCACCAGGGCACGCCACTGGGCCGACCGGTTCGGCCGCGCGGCGACGCCATGGCCGAACCCACCTAAAACCAACGGGGAAAACGCATCGGAATCGCCCGGTGGCCAAGCAAAAGTATGCGAAAAAACGGCTGGAAATACCGCGCTGCGGGCGGCGAGTCCAACTCCGAAACGGTCCAACGCCAACCCAACGGCACCCCCCACCGGAACCGCACCGCGCACACCCACCCCTCTGACCCCCGCGCTACGCGTTTCGGCACGTGACTCGTGAGGAGAGGGCGAGGCGATAAAACCACCGCGTCCGCCCCCCGCCCGCCCCCGTACGCGACGCGACGCGACGCGACGATGCTTCCCCTCAACCCCTCGTCCTCGTAGCCTCCACCCGGTCCCCATCCGCGGCCTCCCTCCACCCTCCTCCGTTCCCCTTTCCCGTTTTCCTCCTCCGCTTCCCGATTCAGCTCGCAACGCCGCCGCCTTCGTTGACCATGCGCGCGCACGAGCCGATTTAAGCCCGCCGCTACAGAGATTTCGAGAGAATTTTTGGGCTAGCGGGGTGTGAACAGAACTTGGTGCCCCGCGGCTCTGCCTTTTTTCGTCCACTGTTTCGCGTCAATTCTCGCGCGAAAAGGCAAGTTCCTGCTGATTTGGGCGGAATTCGGGGAGTTTCCGGCCGGGATCCATCGATTTGGGTTTGCCTCGGGGGAGATTGAGTTCTGATTTTGTGGATTTTGTGTGCAGGGATGGGGACTGGAGAGGGGCCGCCGCCGGCGAGGCGGGCCATCAGCGGTAGGCGCCGCCGCCGGTGGCTGGACGGAGAGGAGGAGGAGGACGACGACGAGTATGTGCTGGAGGAGGGGGAAGAAGAGGATTGTGCGGAGGAGCTCCGCGCCTCGAGCGCCGGCGAGGAGGGGGAGGATTCAGACGCCGAATACCAGGAGGAGGCAGAGGACGACGACGAGATCGAGACGACGCCGCTCCCCAAGCGACCAGCAAAGGGCAGCGACCGAGGGCGGAAGGGAAAGGTGGATCCAGCCGCCGAACGATCTCGGCGCCGGAAGTATGAGGAGGACGAGGACTACGAGGAGGAGGTTGACGAAGACGACGAGGTTGAGGAGTTCCACGATGAGCTCGAGGAGGCCGAGGAGGAAGAAGTGGCACCACCACGGCCGAAGAGCATTGCAAAATGCGGTGCCCGTGGCCGGAATGTCAAGCTGTCTCCTGCAGTAAAGCGATCTCACAAGCGAAAGCAGGAGGAGGACGATGAGGATATTGACTTTGACCCCGAGTTGGATGACGAGGAGGATGAGTTAGATAAGGACATTGATTTTGATCCCGATGTGAATGTCAAGCTGTCTCCAGCAGCAAAACGATCTCACAAGCGAAAGCAGGAGGAGGACGATGAGGATATGGACTTTGACCCCGATTTGGATGACGAGGAGGATGAGTTAGATGAGGACATTGATTTTGATCCCGATGTGGATAGTGGTGAGGAGGATGAGTATCAAGACGAGGAGGAAGAGGAACTGGTTTCTACCCGTGCCAGAAAGGTAACTGTAAAGAATCCGGCGAAGCGAAAGTCCAATTCAAAGCGGCGAACACTAAAGAAGAAGAAGAAAAATAGGGGATCCAAGGTTTCTAGGCGGAAGGGGGCTTCAGCTAAAGTGAAGAAGTCAGCACCCGTTAAGAGGCGGAGAAAGCGTTATGACTATGAGGATGAGGATGAGGATGATGACTTCATTGTGGACGATGATAAGGTCATTGTGAATCGGCACCCCAGGAAGAAGGCTAGGACAGGGAGTGGGAGGGAGACAGTGGTGGACCCTCAAGTATCCATTGAGGAAGAGACATGGCCAGATGTTGAGTCAGACACATCGGACTTTGAGTTCGCAACGTCTGATGAAGAACCTAACAATGTTGAGGCACCTGTAGTTGAGCAGATTACAGTCAGAAAAGGGAGGAAGAAGAGGATATCTGGGTCAGAGTCATCCTCGGATTCTGAATTTGTTGTATCAGATAAGGAATTGGAGGAATTGAGGGAGCCTGAGCCTCCAAAGGCTGCGCCAGTTCTCCCTGCACCCTTGAGAAGGATTTGTATTACAAGGCATGGAGAAGGCAAGGGAAAGGAGAAGCAGGAACTGGAGGAAGCTGGGAAGCCAATATGCGGGATCTGCCTCTCAGAGGAGCAGAGAGCTACTATACAGGGCATCCTCAATTGTTGCTCACACTACTTTTGCTTCGCGTGCATCATGGAATGGTCTAGGGTTGAGTCGAGATGCCCATTGTGTAAGCAGCGGTTCACTACAATCACCAAGTCATCGAAGGTAGATCTTGGTCTTGGAGTGAGAAAAGCTGTAATCAAGGTCGAAGAGCGTGATCAGGTAAAGTTTGTGTCGTGGTGGTGGTTACATAATTTCTTTCCTCATTGCCTTTTGGGGTTAGAGACTTCTTTCTTTATAAGAGTATATATAACCATTTATATTGTTTATTTCATTGGTAACTTGCATATCCATGCTGTATCTGTTTATCACTAGTTTGGTACAATTTAAATGAGATAGTATGTGTCAAACGAAAGGCATTGTTAAGAGTAGGCAGCATTTTGAAGTTGTGTAGGAAGGTTTAATTACAAAAAGAAATGGATTGGGGCAAGATGATCTCATTTACTGATTTAGAGTTTAACAGGCTCATGCATGTGTGGCCTTTAGCCATGTGTATCAAACTTATCATATTAATTTTCCAGTACTTTATTTCTTAATTTGTTATTTTTAAGCTCTCCTAGTTCCCACCCACTCATGTTCTTCACAGGGAAAATTCTATTCTTGTCCTGTTCAACAGTAGCAACGAAACGTCTAGTACCAAGCTAGTTGGGTAAGTTGGAGTTGAAACCCAACAATCGAACATATAATGTCAATTGTATGTTCAATTGTTAGGTTTCAACTTACCCTGCTAGCCAACAATTGGAAAATTTTAAAAAAGTAATACAATAATAGCAGTAGTGAAGCTCAATTATTAAGTCATGATTTCCAAAATTTTCATGTTCTTCTATCTTTTATTAATTCCTATAATGTCAATTAAAAAGGATTTCATGACTGTTGCACTTATAACGATTTTTTTTTTTTAAAGAAAGCCCAGCCTAGGAGGGCATATAGGTTGTATTAATTATACATTAGGAGAAATAGGCACCCTCACTGCACGCCAGTTATGCTTCATAATGAAGTTACGGGGCTGTTGTTTTGTTACTATCTAAAAAAGATCATCTGCCCAACATTTGATATGAGAATTAATGCTACAGACTTCTGTTTTCCTATTGTAACATCTTGAGTGTTGACCTGTTGTCTATTGTCAAGTTGTCAGTTGGTACTTCTAGTATCGATTATTGTTTCTTTGGGTGTTATATACTCATCTTCTTGCTTATCGCACAGGTTTATCAGCCCACTGAAGAAGAAATAAGGCGTTGGCTAGACCCATATGAGAATGTCGTTTGTATTGAGTGCAATCAAGGTGGTGATGATAGTCTCATGCTACTATGTGACATTTGTGATTCCTCAGCGCATACATATTGCGTTGGCTTGGGAAGAGAAGTGCCTGAAGGAAACTGGTACTGTGGAGGATGTAGACTCGGTGACGAAGGACCATCATATACTGGAATTCAGCGTACAGTGGCTTATGAAAGACAAAATTACAGAAATCATGTCGATAGTAGTTCTGTAAGTTTTGGCATGGCTGCACCAAGTGGCACATTTGAAAGGCCGCCATCAATCAACCCTCGCCATTCTTTTCAAGGGATTGATCTAAATCTATCTCCAAGAGAGTTTCCTGGAGAATCACATCCGGCTGAATCACAAGTTTCAACTGATAGCGTATCAACTCCCACTGGAAGAAGAACTGTTTCAGGAAGGCGACAAATACATCGGTACATTCGGATTTTGCTGTCCAGACCAAGGCCACCTAGTAGACCAGACGAATACCACAATATTGCGCATCACAGTGGTGTACCAAGAACTGAACCAATCCGCCGGAACTTACCTTCTTCATCAGAAGCAAACACATCACAGAATCTGCCTGATGGCATTCAGAACCATCACAGTGGCCTTCCATTTGTTCAAGGTCACAGCAATTTTGCTCCATTCATGTCCCTAGAAGGGGATGATTTCCAGCAAATTGAGGGTGTGAAGAGCAACCTCAGGAACATGTAGTAGACCCCTTATTAGGTAAAGTCCCCCCCCAACAAATAAAAGAACTATGGTACACTGTTTAGGACTGCTTTTCATTTAGTCTTAAATAAACTCTTCCTGGAGTTGACATATACTCTGCTTTGTTTCAGAAGGCCCATTCTACCCTGTGAAGCTTACCAAGGGAACAACATGTGCCGTTTTAATGGCTTGTGGAACTGAACATAGCAAAAGCTTGTGCCTGTGCCTGACCTTGGCGTCCTCCAGAAATTGCAATCATGCTACCAATTGTGACAGCTCAGCATTTCTCATTGAATGTGGTTCGGCCCATTTGTGGAGATGTGGTCAATGACATAAGATGCATGCTTTTCCCAAAGCCCTTTGTTTAAGTTTAGGCATTTTTTGTTATCATTCTTATTCATTCAGTCATTAAGCACAACCTCAGATTACATAGTGAAAAAGGCATTTCTGAATGTCTTGATAGCTTCAGATTTATACACTGTAACATTGTGGGGATACCAATTTCATTAGGCTAATCATTCTTTTCCTCGCGACATGCTCTTTTGCCTATTAAGAAGGCTGCTAACTGAGCTTCCTAGCCTCTCTTCTGTATTCATGTACGGCGTGGTGTTAAACTGGTAAGCATTAGGCAAAAACCGTTACCTCGTTTGGGTACTGGCTTTCTGTTCTATCATGGTTTATTTTTGGCTTGTATCTCTATCTTTGAGCATAGTGGTCTAGTGGATCAACCGAGAAAAGCTATCGACAATCTTAGTCCTAATTCCTAACAATTTACGTTCTGAAGATTCATCTTTCAGTGTCTTGTTGTCTAGCGCAGCTGCATTTTTCACAGGAGAATGTTTGAAAGTTTGTTCCATGGCTCAAGTTTGTATCCTCCCTTCACGTGCATATGTTTATAGAGTTGTGGCCAGTGTACCTGGGTCTCCGGATCGTTCTGTGGTCCAAATGTTGTTGAATCGGAAGCAACGGTAACCGGGAGGGTACCAGCTGGATACTGATACCAGGGTTGATTTCACTTGGTACTTTGAATGCTAATTTCTGTTAAATATATAATTTATGTGAGCATTAGAAAATCTTTTAATACAAATATAATGCAACCACTCTTGCAGTATATATTTTTTTAAAAATAAGTTTGATTTTTGAAATACCCTTAGCCAGGTTAGAACTACTCATTTTTTGCCTGTTGACACAGGTGACAGATGGTTCTACTAGTAGTTAGAAATCCCTATTCTTCTCCCCTGTAAAAGCCGTAGGCTCCACGAGCAGGAGCGCTATCCACGTCGCCTCCAATTGGAAGAGCCGTTCGATCTTCCATCCTGTGGCCACCATTCTTTGGAGCTGCTTCTCGCTCTCAGCAGCTTCTCATCGTTTCCTCCAGCTTCTCGTCGTTTTCTCCAGCTTCTCCTCCGCTTCTCGTCCCACCGTTCTTTGGAGCTGCTTCTCGCTCTCAGCAGCTTCTCGTCGTTTCCTCCAGCTTCTCGTCGTTTTCTCCAGCTTCTCTTGCTTCTCCTCCGCTTCTCGTCAGAATCCAGAAGAGCATATATATACCAGCTTCCTCTTCTCCTTCCCGCTTCTCGCCCCCTCCTCTCTCCTCGCTCTCTGTCTCCCTCGCCTCCCTCTCCCGACGCGGACAGGGCGATGGCGGCTCGCGCGACCGGAGCGCGGCGGCTGCGGCCGCCCTCCTCCTCCTCCGCCCTCCCTCTCCCCCATCCTCAGCGCCTCCTCCCGCCGGGGAGCTTCTGCTCCTCTTCTCGACAAAACCCTAGGTGCCTCCTCTCTCCCCTTCGCTCTCTCTCTCTCCCCGACGCGGATAGGGCGCCCGCGGCTGGCGCGAGCGCGGCGCACTGGCTGCAGCCACCCTCCTTCTCCTCCACCCTCGCGTCCTGGCGTGCCGGCTAACGACGCGACGCGCTGGCAGGGCGCGACGGCGCCCCTGGGCTGCGGCGAGGCGCCGCCCATTGGCCCCGGCAGTGCCCGTCACCAGCCACGGCGCCCTCTGCTCCATTCGCTTCTTGGCGTCTCCCAGGTGAGGCAAAGACACATCCCTCTCTTTATTTCCCTCCCCTCACCTTTTGCACGGCTGTCCCAGACCGTTTTTTCCCCATTTTGTTCAGCCTCTACTGAGTCTTACATATGCTGATTTGGCCTGCAACTATATGCTATTATCATGATGCATGTATCTATCCAAAAAAACACATTGCTATAGGCCAATTTCAGTGTTCAGACGCATGTAAAAAATTATTTTGCTGATGCACCATGTACTGATGTCACACTGTCAGACGACAACCGTGCAGGTGATGAAAATCTTTGCTTCTCTGTAATAGCCGACGGCTCCACGATCAGGGAGGATGTCCTTCCATCCTGTGGCCACCGTTCTTTGCAGCCGCAAAAAACACATTGCTATGCGCCAATTTCAGTGTTCAGGCGCATGCAAAAAATTATTTTGCTGATGCACCATGTACATATGTCACACTGTCAGATGACAGCCATGCAGGTGATGAAAATGGCCCCGTTCGGTTTACCCCATATTCGGCTTGTTCGGCTTCTTTTTTCAGCCGGAACAGTGTTTTTCTCTCCCAACAATTCAGCCAGAACATTGTTTTTCTCTCACAACAATTCAGGCAGAACAGTGTTTTCAGCTAGTTTCAGCCAAAATTCTGCCAGCCAGAACATTTGTTGTTTTTCTCTCACAACAAATCTTTGCTTCTCTGCAGCCTGTGATGAAAATTACATCATGTAACTTGAAAATATAGGCTGATGATCTTGAAAGACCCACAACATGTTCATGTGTATACATATACTGATGACAGGCTTTGGTCCTGTTTGGTTACCTGCGGGTTTTTATAATCCGGATAAAAATAATAACATGTTTCACTGGATTCCATGTTTGTGTGTTAAAATCCAACAGAATTTTACCCGTTTGGATGTAATTCTAGGATTCTGAGATTTATTTTATCCGGATTTTGAAGAACCCCTGCTAACCAAACAGGGCCTTAGTTGTCATATCACGCCCCCTCCCTGTGTTCTATCAAATACCATGTCCCCTCACGGTCTGAACTGCACCCCTCTCTTCCTCTCTACATGTGTTGTTATATGTATGTGTCGCCAGCGTTGAGGTTCTTCCAAAGCGTACCCATTTGTCAATTGCATGCTGTGGTTAAGTCACCACAAAAGATCAGATGATGCCATTGTGTTCATTTCTGAGGCTACCTCTTGGTTCCATCTTTGTCAACTTTTTTTTTATTTTTTCACTCTCCTACATACTAATTGTTAGGAAAACAGAGGCAGAGGCGACCACCTTCTCTCTTTTCCTCCCTCTCAATGGTAAGCAGATGACTAGAGACTCATATATGTTGCATTTTTTTTTTGGCTGATTTGCTACCTATCTCCCCTATTAATTCTTGAATCCTAATGTCACGATTATTGATAAGTTCTGGACAAGATCTGAACACAGGATCTTTGATTCTATCTATCTATTATTTATTTATTTATAGAAATAATTATTTGTGGTTATCTGAACACGGGATCTTTGATTCTATCTATCTACTATTATTTATGTATTTAGAACTAAGTCTTTGTGGTTATCTTTCATATGCAGAAAGATTCTGCATATTACTATTTCTTATTTGTAACAACTAAGTCTTTAGTGGTTATCTTTCATACGCAGAAGGATCTACTTGATTTTCACTGGACCATTACTTTGTTTTCACACTCACTGCTTTGAGACATGCATATGTTGCTTCTTCCAATCATTTGGTGCCTTCACATATTTTCCGTAGTTTCCTCATTACTTTGCTTGCTATGTCTTCCATTTTTCAGGCTACAAATTAATTTGGGAAAACATAACAGTATGCTCCACTGAATGCATTGGACGCTCGGTAAACTACTTCTGGAGCGGTAATGATTCATTTGCACCTGCTTCCAACTTGGTTTATTCCACGCTAATCATAGTGACATACTTCATCATGTTCATGACTCCACCTTTTTTTTTTCCCATACAGATTACAGTTAGGCGGTTGTTAGTTTTGCAACGTTTCTTGAACCTGCTCCATGTTTGGTTTGTGTTAACAAGGAGCCAATATTCAAGAAAACCTTAATAGGAAACGGCGTATAGCCTTACTTAAAAATGTTTCGATGCAAAGATTTGCTTCTCATTTCTCTAATCTTTGGCATGTAGCCTTACTCAAATCTTTATTGTTTTTAGTCTCACTGATCGTTTTTGCATTATGGTATGTTCTGGTCAGCTTATCTGTATAAATGCGGAAATGCTTGGAATATGATGAAAGCAAATTTAAAATCCCTGCCCACCTTTACAGGTGCCTACCCAAAAAGGTTGCACACAGTAAGCTAAAAGTGTTCCTTTCCCCTGCAATTACAGGGTGCTCAATGTTAACCTGAACCTGAAATAAAATTTCCTTTTCAGTACTCTACGCAACCCAATTTTTTTACGATTGTATGTGACCAGCTTTATTATAACACACCTTCAGATTTGTCAGTGTCATATTGCCTCAAGAGTACAGAGTTAACCTTCAGTCACCTTTTTTTCATGTAGAGATCAGCAGGTGAAGGCTATGGAAATTAAAGTTGTTGCCATGGACAAGACCAGACATTCATCATTCATGTCGGCTTTTGGTGGACAAATGAAGACAAACATTATGAAGTGATTTCGCGTGAGTGGTGCTAGCTTACTACTTGGACCTCGCAACATGCCAACATTAGGTGAGATTTCTTGATTTTATCTGTTACTGTATGATACTTATGACTCCAATAGGAATGTTAGATCAGTACTAACTGGATAATCCTATGTTATAAAAGACATCAATTATTAGTGTCAATATGTTGCGTAACAATACAGTTATTATATTGACCAACCAAAAGATCTTGTGATAACTGGAGTCACGCAGCTTTTGTTGGATGAATGAAGACAAACATTATGAAGCAATTTCACTTGAGTGGTCATAGCTTACTAAGGATTACTGGATCTCGCGACGTACCAACATTAG